GGGAGCCACACCGCTGCGACTTTACTCACTGCCAGCTCTTGGCATATGTGCTCTATCATGGCCTCCAGTCCCCGCGTCCCCTTCGTGGCCTTGTCCTCAACAGCCTTCACCATCTTCAGCAAGGAAGTGATGTTTGTCACCATCACCTGTGGAAGGGAGAAGAGCACTAGGTGAAACCCCACACAAACTCTGAGCTGCTGCCAGCACCTGTCCCTCCCTCATGGTTTGGTCCAAAGCTGCCCCGTCTCCATACTCCACTCACACCACCTCATCTTGTTCTCCCATCAATGCCTCCTCTGCCTGTTGTGCTCCACCTTTTATGTGCCCCTTCCTCCCCCCCTTGCCCTGACTGACCCCCAGTTGTCCTCCTGCCCCCAGGCAGGCAGAGAAGCCCCCCCTGCTCTTTCTCCAGCCCCTCTGCCCTATCCCCTCCTTTCCATCATGTCCAGCTCAGACCTTGTTAGAGTTCTTCATCTGGTAGACAGCAGGGTCATCCCCAGCTTTGCCAGGAACCCTCCCGATTGAGGGTTCCTGCCATGGCAAACATGATGGTGGTGTCGAGGTCAGCAATGATGCCAGAGACGGTGCTGGCTTCTGTGATGCAGGCTTGTGTCCCACGGTTCCCAGCCTGCAGGGCTGCCAGCACGTGAGACACCTGCAGGGTACGAGCAGGGTGACTGGGGGAGCAGGGCAGGTTCAGGCAACCCCCACTGCACACCTCCTCCAACATCTCCCCAGGATGGAGCCACTTCACACCAAGGAGGGGAATCAGGAATCATGTGGTCTGGACACCCCTTCTTAGCTTCCATATTTTTACCTTGTACCTATCATGTTTGGGGGTCCAGGAGATATTGGACTCTGCTAGTTTCCAAATGAATAAGGTTTGCATGATGGGCATCAGAACATTGCAGCTCATTCCTTCTTTAACTGCTCAACTCAATTTCTTTACTTGGGCAAGCACTCATAGGAGAAAATATTTCCTGATGGAAAGCAATCTCGGAAAGGAAGGACCTGCAGGAGGCTGAGTGTGCAGACACGTGCCAGGCACTATGAACAAGTGTTTGTTTTGCTTTTGTAACCTTGCTTAAAAGCATTGCTGCTCTACCCTTATCAAACTAGAGTTTTTTAGACACATTTTTGTCTATTATTCAGAAGCGTGCTCTTTAGATTGACTGATAGACAGGATGCTTTCCACCATGCCAGCAAAAGGAGAGATCGACCACCCAGCATGAGCTGCAGGCTGGCTAGAGATGTAGCAAATGCTACACCCGCCACTACAAGAGCTGATTTGGAGGGCCTTGGGCTGCCACCAGTGTGCAGATTAGTCTTCCCTGGCAGGACATCATCGGCATGTCAGCAGGCAGCACCTGGATGTTGCACTCACCCATCATAGCACCAGCTGCTGTTACAAGTGCCTGGAGAGGGAGATCCATCCTCCACCTCATCAGCTGAATCAGGCCAGGTCAAGCATAGCTGAGAGCACCAAAGTCCAACAGGACCAGGGGAGAACCCATCACGGTGGCTCCAAGGGCACATGGCTTGATCCAGCATCCCTCCAACCTTGCCATGCCATTGCACCTCTCCCTGGGCTGCTCACCTTCTCAGAAACCTTGCACACACTCTCTATCAGCTCCTTCTTGGTATAGGCATCGCTGGGGCTGCACTGCAGGGCTCCAGCCTTAGTAACCAGGGCAGCACAGCCATGACCCAGCTCCTGCACCTGGCACTTGATGTGGGAGCCGATCTGGAGGGGAACACGTGTGTGAGAGCACCAGCAGAGAACTAAGCCTCACATCCATGATACCCGCTGTGAAACACCAGCCACCCCCATCCAGCTCCTCTCCCAATCCTCCCAACTCAGGAGGAAAAAGGAAACATGGCTTTGCTCTGCATTTCCACACTGTGTTGCAAGGGAGGTCTGAATGCTGCCTGCCCCCAGCTCCGACGGGAAGTTCGAGTGCCCCCGTCCTCTGCTCTCATGCCCCAGCAGATACTGCTC